TTGACTTGTGCCCAGCAGTGTTGTAAACCTTTTGCACGAATTAACTCCTGTAATCCTCACGACCACCCTCTGAATAGTTATACTATCATCTTTGTTTTACAAGCAAGGGAGTTGGAGTTCAGAGAATTGAGTAACTTGGCCTCAGTCACACAACTAATAAATGATAGAGCTGGTGTTTGAACCCAGGTAGTCTGGCTCCAGAACATCTTACCTGTTAGAGTGGGAATAAGGGAAGAAAGATCTTCACAGCGCTGCCTTTTCTAGTGTACTTGCTTGTTTTGTATATCTCAAGGATGTGCCATCAGTGGGCTCTTCTGTGTCAACAAGATACACTGGCAAAAGTGCTGTCCCTGGTGACAAAATGAAGCTGGGAGCTAGGCCGAATCATAGCACAGTCCTTACCCAGGCATCTAATGATGATTGCTAGGTTGGAGTGTAGATGAAAACAATGAAACCCATGGCTGCCAACTGAGCCCCTCATGCTATAGCTTTAGAAAGCCTCCTGGGAGAAGGCTGTGCTGCATCCTTTTCAGATCTAGTACCCCTGCTATAAAAATCCTTTCAGGTTATCTCCCATTTTATAGGTGTAGAAACTGAGGTTTTGAGATTATGTTTTTCTCCTAAGGGACAAAGCTAGGACTTTATCCTAGGTCTTAATACCCAGAATATAGTATGTTTTGCACCAAAGGTGGAGATACACTAAGGGGCAGATTATGGCTTAGTATTAAGATAAGTTTTAAAGGTAGGTGAGAATTAAATGGGATACATTAGGAGATAAGAAAATGTCCATATTGGATGTGTTCAAGCAGAGGTTGAACAAGCTCCTAACAAGTTTATTGCAAAGGAATTCAAGTATCATATGAGAGATTGGGTCCAACCTTTTAAATTCCTTTTACCCTGAATTATCAGGTTCTGTGGAATATGAGAATCTTGATTTTTCTGCATCTGTTTCCACACTTTGAATGAAGTGAAAAAAATGACCTTATATTATAAAGACCTGAAGGGGGTATAAAGATCACTCTGGTGTTGCACCTTCATTTTAGAAGTGAATGTACAAGCCCAGAGAGAATCCATGGTGAAGCCACGGCTGGAACCCAGGCCTCCTGATTCTTAGTGAATATGGTTTCCATAATGGGTCTATTGTGCTTTGTAAGCAGTCTCCCTTGCACCCAGCAGGCAAAGCTAGAAACCTAGGTGTCACATTGGACTTCCTCCTCACCCCTCATGTAAACATAGCCATCAAGTCCTTTAAATTCTGCTTAGATGTTTCTTGACTCAATTCCCTTCTCATACTCAGTTTCTGTCCTAGTGCAGGCCACTATCATCTCCCCTAAAAGGGGCATTAGCTTCCTAAAGATTTTGCCTCAGACCTTGCCTCTTCAGTTCAGTCTTCACACAGCTACCAGAGTGATCTTTCTAAAACCCAGATCTGCTCATGCCCTTCCCCTGCTTAAGTCCCTCTCAAGTGGCCCACTTCTGTCCCAGGATAAAGTCTAAAGTTCTGTCCCCGAAGGCTCTTCATGCCCCTCCCCTGCTCTCCAGTCTCATACTGCCTTTGCAACACATTCTTGTACTTCTCTGGCTATAGAGAAGGTCTGTAGTTCTTGCCAACATTCATCATGCTGTTTTGTCTCAGACCTTTGGACCTGCTGAGCCCCAGAATATATCCTCAAATTGTCTCCTTTGGTTCCTTCTCATTCTCCAGAACTGAGCCTCATTCTGGAGCCTGTCTTGTGTCTCCTGTGGGCTTGGCGCGTGGCCTCTGTGTTCCGACAGCCTTCTATATGTTCTTTAAGGATATTTACTTAAGTATTTATTTCAGGTTCACAAATGGAAACCTCTAAAGAAGGTAGGCAGGGGAAAAGGAGTCCTGCAACCTGGAGGAAGATAATAGACTTCAGTTCTCTTCAGTCAGAGCATAGCTTCTGTCAGAAGACAGTTGTCATTCAGTTCTACTCAGTGGTTTGTAAGTGGGGGCCTGGGGGTATAAGATCTTCCAGTTCTTCCAGAAAAGCCAGAAATCTGCATTTTCATGTAAAAAAAAAAAGCCATTAAAAATTAATGTTAAAATGACTCAGACAAAATAGGTGTCTAGGTAGATTTGTGCCAGTTTGCAACATTGGTACCATCACTCTGTATTTAATGTCTGTTTCTTCCAACTACTCTGTGCGTAGACGCATAGTGAGAACATCTGTTGTATCCCCGGCACAGCTACTGGCACATACCAGGCAGGGGAAGAATGAATATGATTCCAGAGCAAACTTAGCAGTACCATGGCATGCCTGCAAAAGCCAGCCCTGGGATTCGTGTTTCCGAAAGGACTTTATATTTGGCTTTGACACGATTGACTTCTGCAAACAGAATTATAGGGTACCCATAAAGCACTTGGCAGACTTCTCGTCTTAGGAACCACTCAAGCTAGAAGAAATTAAGTGTGGGCAGAGGGAGGGCTGTGCTGCCTACAAATCAAATCAAAGGGCTTAATGATTAAGACATGGGACCAAGTATAGTGTCACGTGGAAAAATAGCTTTTCTCCAGGTTCTGCACATTTCCAGCAATGACCATGGAGAACAGATTCAGAAATTGGAGCTGTTTATTACCAGGTTCTATACAAAGTTTAATAATGTCACTGCCAGATACTTCTGTCTCCAAGAAGATTGTACTAAGTTCTCTATAATGTGGAGACAACCCAGGAACACTGATTACACCCACACCTAATGCAACACCCACTAGAGATGTCTCACTTTACATTCCACTTAAAAAAGTTGATTGCATCAGTAGAGAAACAGTCTGAATTTTATCAAACACTCTCTAGCCGTATAGGTGCCTGGCTTTTTTGAGCTGAGTGAACTGAGACCTAGAAAGATCCTGTATCTGTCAAATTGCTGGTGGCAGGAAGGATACTGAGCAGGACTTCCTCAGACCTCCAGGCTAAGTCAGGTCTGTGAGGATCTCACTCTCATGCCCCCCCCCCCCCTTTTAAGTAAGCTCTAATCCAGTGTGGGGCTTCAACTCACGACTGAGGTCAAGAGTTGCCTGCTCTACCGACTGAGCCAGTGAGGCATCCCACTCCCATGGACCTTTTAAGATGGTGTGTAGCAGAGATCAAGACACAGCGTTGGGTTCTAATCTGATGACTCGGAGACAAAATAGGTGTCTAGGTAGCTTTGTGCCAGTTTGCAACATTGATACCATCACTCTGTATTTAACGTGTTTCTTCCAACTATTCTGTGTGCATATACACGGTGAGAACACTGCCATTTCCTTGCTGGGCAAACTTGGAGAGGTTCCTTCACTTCCCATTCTAGTCTTAGCTCCCCTTTTCTTGCCAAGCCACATCTTAAATTGCTGTTTGGTCTGTGGATTGGCTGCCCAGTCAGATATCCAACTGGGCCAAGCAGGTGACAGGCTCACATGGAGCAAAACCCAGCTTTCTGGGGTCGTGGCTTCAACAAGGGCTGAGGTGGACAATTGTATTTTATTGTGGCTGTGATAGACACTTGACCTAGTAAATGTTTAAAATTTGCCAAATGTTCGGCGAATAGATGAACACCTGTTCTTTAAGACTCAGCTTGTGTCCTGTTCTTAGTGATGTCTTCCTTACTTTCCCTTCCATTCTGGTATGATTAGGCCATCCTTTAGGTCACCATTAGACCTTGTAACTCTTATAACATTAATGCCTGTATCATCATTATCTGTAGATTTGTCTCTCCCACAGAACTCCTGAGGGCAAGAATTAGAATTTATTCATTTCTCTACCCCCAGCGCCCAGCAATAACTGGTCATATGAAAATCAGTCTCAGTAAGAGCCTCTTAGTAAATGGGCATGAAAGAGAATGAATAAATAAGAGTAGATAGTTCCTTTGGACTTCAACATTCTACAGATCTATGAAATAAGCTGCTATGTTATGAACTATAAAAAGAAACATTGACTTTACACAGCACACCTATTAATCAAAATACAATGACAACAATGGCTTCAATTTATTGAGTCCTTACTACATGCCAAGCAGTATGCTAAGACATGGTATGAATCACCCCATTTAATACCTACAAAATCACTCCAGGTACTAATTATTATCCCTATCTGACAGATGAGAACAGTGAAACTTTTAAGAGATTAAATAAATGCCCAACCAATGAGTGGCAGGAAGCCACAGTTCAAAGTCAAGGCTATTTGACACCAAAGCCCATCCTCCTAACTCTTTAAAGAGGAGGAGGAATGAAAACTAATGAGATGGTGATAATTTTATAGTTCATCAGTCTCTTCTAAGGCTTCACAAAGGACATGTGGCATTTAACAGAACAAAGACTATCCACGGTGGTCTAGTCCAGCCCATCATTTCCTAGCAAGGGAAGGTGAGGTTTAGCTAGTAAGACAGATGACCTAGATCCCTAGTATCAGGACATTGCTCCTTTTACTGTTACTATTACAGAAATGTTCTGCCACTTCATTCAGGGTTCTGCTCCTACGTCATCTGCACAAAGAGACTTCCTGACCACGTATCTGAAATAGCCTTCACTACTCTTCATCTTCTTATCCTGCTTTTTCTTCATAACAGGTTCTGCTTTCATTATGGAATTTATTGTTTATTTTCCCCACTAGAATGTAAGCTTTGTGAGGATAAGACTTTTATTGCTGTTTCTCTGGAGCCTCTAGCAGTGCCTGGCATATAAAGTACTCAGTAAAAATTGGTTGAATTAATGGTTAAACATTCCAAAGCATCAATCGCAATGTAATTTTAATGCACTGAAACTTTTCTTTGGCCTTCAAAGCAGAAGGCTTTATTTTTTGCCTTTATTTTCTCGTATTTCTGGCCTAACATTTACTGTATTATTAAACTTTGGTAAATATCTGTCTTCTCCCTTTTCAGTTCCCCCCAGAATGGGACCTTGCCTTAGTCATCCATGCATCCCAAACCCTAGCCCAGCACTGGGCATGAGCAGCTGTTGAAAGCTTGGGGAGGTTGGTGAGAGTGGTAAGAGTGATAGTCAGAGGCATTGTGGCTTAGTGATTTATTCTCCTTAAGGCTCCATCAGCACGTGGAATGGAAGACCCCTCCCACCCTGATTCCTCGGGCAGCCAAGGCATTATACTCCTTCACTGCCTGCTCTGTCTGGAGGACCCGCACATCAATGCCTTGTTTCTCGAGGTACTCCACAGTTGACGGAGGCACCTGGGAAGAGGGAAAGAGATGAGTGAGTCCAGGGAAAGGCTCTCCAGGGTTTCCTTTCCTGCCATGAGGCAAGTGCTCTCTACAGAATTGGACAATGACAACTGTCACCCAGCATTTACCAGTCGAAAATTTGGCAGTGAGCCCCAAGGAGTCAGTAAGGCTTCTAAGAAGTTGATTGAAAGTATCCTGCATGTACAAAGCTCCGGTGAAGTGGAAATGGAAACAGTATGGATTCTGGAGTCAGACAGGCTTGGATTTAAGTGTTACTAGCAGTGTGACCTTGGGTAAGTGAATTCAGTTCTCTGACCCTTGGTTTCCATGTCTGTAAATAGGGATAATAATACCTAGTTCACAGGGCTGGTATGAAAATTAATTCAGCTAAGGTATGTAAAATGTCTAGCATGTAAATGTTGAATGTTTGAGTTAGTCCAACCAGAGTCTAAAGTCTAACTTTGCCATGTACCCACCAAGTGGCTTTAGGCGAGCTGTTTAAAGTTTTTCAACCCCAGTTTCTTCTGCTATAAAATGGGAATAACTCTAACATCACAGGGTGGTGTGAGCATGAAGTTAACTACTGTATGTACACGGCAGCTCAAATGTCTCCTCAGAAAGGCCTTTCCTGAGTCCTGCATTTAGAGCAGCCCCTCAGAAGTCACTATTTTCTTCACAACATTTGTTACGATGTGAAATTATCTACTGTTTTAATTTCCAGGAGGGCCATGAACCTTGTTTGTCTCATTTTTCGTGTTGTCTCCAGTGCCTAGAATAGTGTCTGACCCATAGAAGGCACTGAATAAATGTAAATTAATTTATATAAAAGATTCTCAATAGTGGCAGCTATTATTGGATATTTTCTTAACTGGCTTGTGCTGAGTATTTTAAGGAGATTTTATTTAGACTCTGCCTCAGAAAGAGTTCTGAAATATTTTTTAAACACCCTATATTTTTTATATGTTTGAATAACTTTATAATAACAGTAGCCTGTAGAAAGGAATTATTTTAATGGGAAAAAAACTAGGTTAAACAAAAAATATAAATGAATCGCAGCTTTATCAGTAGGGAACTGTATTTTAGGACATCTGTCTAAAGGAAAGAATGAGGTAGATCTCTATATACTTCTGTGAAAGGCTGTCCACAATGTAACAACATCAGTAGGAAGTTACAGAACAATATGTACAATGTGATCCTGTTGATGTAAAAAATGATTATAAGTGTGTACGTGTATATCTGTATGTGTAAGAGTATGTATTTGCAGTTACATAGGAACCTGGAGCAGTATACATTACATGTACAAACCAGGGTGGGGAGCTCTCACTTTTCTACTTCAACATTTCTGCATCTCCTGTTTTGCTATAAGCATGTATTATTTCTTTAAGTACAATAAAAATAATTTTTTTTTCTGAAAGGGAAAAAAGGCATAACTTGATTGTGTTCAAGGAAAGAATAGAAAGTATTATAAAAATGTCATGTAATAAAAAAGGTGAAGTACTATGAAATCTAAAGAACTGAATATTGATAGCTATCGAGCTTGAGAATTCCAGGAGTGAAGAATTTCTGAAAAATAGTTGAAACAACACAGGCCTAGGCTCTGGTTGAGACGGGAGAGTCCAACCCTGATGAGGAAGAGTACTAACATCCATTATTTTATCCTAGGCCACTCCTGACTCAGCAAAATGAGGGTGCATGATATATTGAGATGACCTCCCAAGAAGGACTTTTTTTTTTTTTAACTTTATTATATTTTTGAAAGAGAGTGCATAAGCAGGGCAGGGGCAGAGAGGGAGACACAGAATCAGAAGCAGGCTCCAGGCTCTGAGTTGTCAGCACAGAACCAGACGCAGAGCTTGAACCCACAAACGGTGAGATCATCACCTGAGCCGAAGTGGGACGCTTAACCAACTGAGCCACCCAGGTGCCCCAAGAAGGACATATTTCTAAGGTAATGGTCCAAGAGGTCACCAGCTGTCCTCAGGAATGCTGTGCTCACCAATACGTACCTTCAAGGCCTCACTCATCCCTCGGCCAATCACAAGAGTCTGCACACCCTTCTTAACAACTTCCTCCACATCTGCAGGCTGCACACCAGGAGAATGCTAGATATGGAAAGAGAAAGTATACCAGCTACCTGTTATTTTAAGCTTTCTTTGCAGTTGGGATTCTTGTGGGATTCATTCATTCATCCATTAATTTATTGAGAAAATGTTTACTGAGGTTTATTCTGTGCCAAGCATCATTCAGGGCCCTCGGAATAATAGAAGATTCAATGCTAAGTCTAGTGAAAAATATAGAAGACTAAAAAGAAATTTCAATACTTTTATCAGTGCTAAAGGAAGTTAGTTCAGGGTGTTGTGAGAATATAGAGAAAGAGCACCTAATTCAGACTTGGGGAGTCGGGACAAGTGGTCACTGAAGGCATCCCAGAGGAGGTAACATGTAAGCTGAGACCTACACGACACACAAGAATTAGCCAGGTAACAGGAAATCAGTGGAACAAAGCATTCTAAGTAGAGGGAATAGCATGTACAAGGCTCAGAGGAAAGAAAAACATGGAGAACTAAAGGTCATTCAGTATGACTGGTGTGTCACAGGTGAGAGTAGAAAGAGGGGGGTAGGAGAAGAAAGCACTTGCACACTAAGCCAAAATTTGGACTGTGGAAAGACTTCAAGAGAATTTACCTTTTTCTGAGTTCCTTTCCCACTTATGGAAAACTTACATTGATGCTTTAAAACCTGTCACTACATAAAGTCTTCCCAGAGTTTCCCAGGGATATTTAAGGTAAGATGTTTAGTGACATTAATCCAACATTAAAGGATGGTGGCTTCTGAACTGCTTCCACATCAGCAAATGGGACAGTGGGAGTTTGATAAATACGAGCACAATTACTGGGCTTCACGTATTCTGTATCTTCACAGGGATGACACTCTCAGCACTGAAGATCAGTGACCAAAGCCGTCCTTCCCTGAGTTGTCTATCCTTTCATTCAGTCAACAGGTATTTACTGCGCACTTACTCTGCACCAGGCTCTACACTCAACATTGGAAATACTGAGATGAACCAAATAGTTAACGGAGGAGTTTCAGTCAGGCAAAGTTAGTGAATGTGTGGAAGTAGTTACAGTAGGATGAGATAAATAGAGTTGAGAGGATATCAGAAGAGAGGGAATAAATAAAGTGGGAAGTTGTCATAAATGACAGGCTGTTTTAATTGGGTCTTAAAGTATGAGCAGAAAGAAGTATGCCTTGATGCAGTGGTTGTGGAAGGGGTACCCAATCATAGTTGGAGATGGTACAAGGAAAGAACTGCCAAAAATATCATGAAGACAAGTGTACCAAAGAAAGAAAGGTTTTTCAATTTAGAAAGATGATAGAAGAGATAGGATTGAAATTTATATATACTTTTTAAGGTATAAAGAGAGCAAATCAGTCTTTCCATTAAATCCTGAAATAATATCCTATATGTTTATAGTTACAGTTTTCATAATACAGCTATAGAAATTACTTCACATAATCTATGTAGTCATCCTATAAAGTAGCACTAAAACACCCATTCTCATTTTATAGATAAGGAAACTGAAGCTCACAAAATACATACACATTGGCCAAGATGACACAAGTTTTAGGTGGTGGAGCTGGGATTTGAACTGAAACGTGTAACTTTCAGTTTAATGCATTTTGTTCGAATACCATAAACCAAGGAGCAACTTTCCTGAAGTTTGAAAGAAATAAGCCTAATGACCACACACAGTTGTGTTGCTCACTGCAGGTAGAATATTTATTAGTTTAAGTGTGAACCTGAATCTTCCCTAGAGCAATCTCTCTCTTTCTGTTTCTGTCTCTCTCACACAAACAGAAGCTAAAAAATCACAGAAGAGACAGAATGGAATATTTAAAAAATTTTTTTTTAATTTTTAAATGTTTATTTTTTTAAGGAGAGAGAGACAGAGCATGAGCAGGGGAAGGGCAAAGAGAGGGAGACACAGAATCCAAAGTAGGCTTCAGGCTCTGAGCTGTCAGCACAGAGCCCAATGCGGGGCTTGAACTCATGAGCCATGAGATCATGACCTGAGCTCAAGTTGGACGCCCAACCAACTAAGCCACCCAGGCATCCCTGAAAATTTTTTTTAACATTTATTCATTTTTGAGAGACAGAGTGAGAGCGGCAGAGGGGCAGAGAGAGGGAGACACAGATCCGAAGCAGGCTCCAGGCTCTGAGCTGTCAGCAAAGCCTGATGTGGGGCTCAAACCCACAAATCATGAGATCATGACCTGAGTCAAAGTTGGACACTTAACCGACTTAGCCACCCAGACATCCCCAGAATGGAATATTTAACAAATAGTTGATTAACACCGGAAGGAATGGGAAACATGAGGTCAAACAAAAAACAAATGACAATTGAAACACTTAGACATAGCTATACCAGTGCGCCTGGGTGGCTGCTGCACGTTGGGCTCTGTGCTGACAGCTCAGAGCCTGGAGCCTGCTTCGGATTCTGTGTCTCCTCCTTTCTTTGCCCCTCTGCTGCTCGCTCGCTCTCTCTCTCTCTCTCTCTCTCTCTCTCAAAAATAAACATAAAAAATAAAACGTAGCTATATCAATAATATTAAGTGGACTAAAGAGTTGAAGGTAAAGATTGTCTAGATTAAAAAGCAAGATCCAACTAAACACTACTTATAAGGTATGCACTTTAAATAAAAAAAACACAGGTTGAAAGTATAAGGATGAAAAAACACATAAACACACAGTAAGAAAAGTGGTGTGGTTATACTAATATCAGATTAAGTCGACCTTAAGAAATATTACTACAGATAAGCAGTGTCATATCATGATGCTTAAAAGGCCAATTCATCAACAAAAATATAACAACTCCAAATCTGTATACTCTTAGTAAAAAAGCTACAAAATGTAAGACAAAAATAACAACTAAGAGGAGAAACAGATACCACCACCATAGTTAGAAATTTTAACAACTATCTCTCTCAGTAATTCTAGAACAAATAGACAAAAAGTCAATAAGGAAATGGAGGATTTGGGCAACACTATCAATTTGTCCTAATAGACATTTATAGGTTACTTCATGTAATAATTGCAGAATACATATATATATATTTTTTTTTTTTTTTAATTTTTTAAACATTTGTTTGTGAGAGAGACAGCAATGGGAGGGGCAAAAAGAGAGAGGGAGACCCAGAATCCAAAGCAGGCTCCAGGCTCTGAGCTGTCAGCACAGAGCATGATGCAGGGCTCAAACCCATGAACCGTGAAGTTACGACCTGAGTCAAAGTCAGACACTTAACTGACTGAGCCACCCAGGCACCCCATAATTTTTTTTTTTAAGTGTAGTAGTATAGGCAGGTTATAGATTAGCAGGAAGAGACCACATATAGGCACACATACAACTCACTGCTTCCTCATTTAGTTAGCCAAGGAAACAAAACAGATGCCAAGTGGCTACACCAAGTGGAACCAGATGCAGTGTATCTTTGCCGGCTTTCTCCATGGCTCTTGATTCCTTATGGGGTGTGCAAGTGCTGCTGACATCCTTCACCCCGTCAGTGAATGTTCCAGGGCTGATAAGGAAGCCAGTCTCTCTCACTATTACACTTTTATATTCAGACTTATGTCATCAGCATCTTTCTAAGGAGCTGACGCTTAAGACTGTATGAGCTTACATTTAAGGGACTATGAAAAGTTGGAACACCTGCATGTCAAAGAGTGAACCAAACTGGTCGGCAGGAAGGGTATATTCCTCATTTGGGGCGAGGATGCAGACCTCGGGCCCAGGTGGCTCTGAACAGTACCTCTGCCTCCAGCTTCACTGGTTCTCCACAAAGATCAAAGGAGACTGGGGGAGAATAGATTCTTTTTTTGTAAAAGTTATTTCGGTTCATAAATTTTTAAAAGGCAAGATAAAAAGGGATTTTTTTTCACTTGATTACAATGATTAGTTCTTAAAGAAATGTAAAAGGATTAGATGTGTTTTTAGTTCCATGGCTCTGATTAATCCTAGAACCGCCCTGCACCGCAGTTATGCTATACAGGACTTAAAATAATCTTCTGGGGCAATAACCAAGGTAAATATTTAATAGAATTACAAATCAGGTTGGGGAGCTTCACCTTCCTCAAGTAAATGCACTTAACTGAAATACTGAAAGATTGCTTCATCTAACAAAGAATTGCATCTACTTTGAGGAGCATCATGATCCCCAGACTAAGAGCTCACATTCTAGTAAAAGGAAACAAGGCCACTGCTCAAAATCAAGTGAAAGGTCAGTAAAAGTGCAAAACCATAATCCTTGGGAGATTCAGAGACTGAAGACAGCCGCAACCCATCAGAGTTGCTGGATCAATGGAACTCGAGTGACAAATGTGGCTGCTGTGTGCAATACTGCAGGCCCAGGGTGTCACGTACAGAGCAGTGAAAGATAACTCTGCAACAGCCTGTGGATCCCGGCATTGGTGGGTGATTACTCACAGCTTTGTGCAGAGGCCTGTGATTGGAGCATCAGTCTGTTATTGAGGTGTCCTCAACCTGCCACCAGCGACTCCTCCGCTTCTTCCAATCCCTTGGGGCAAACCACAAGGCTGTCTTCCCTGCATGAGTGTCTGATTCTGTTCCTCTTCTTTAAGAGGCTTTCCGTCACACCATGTGAGGTTGTAAAATCTTATTGTTTTTTCTTGAGGGAAAGCTATTAATTGTGGGGAAATGTCCAGCTAATAATAATAATATCCATTATACCGGCTAAACGACAAGAGTGGCATCTTACATGGCTGGGACATTTCCTCTTATTTTATGTTAAGTTTAAAAAGAAAACATTCCTAAATTACGCTTTCAAGGAAGCATTTCCTCCTGCTGAAATAAATGGTTAGTGGCAATGCTGTTATCTGGCTGTGTTGCTGAGAAAAGCAGATTCTGCGAGTGAGGGTTAAAGGATCTCTTCAATCTGTCCCCTGTGGACACTGCCTGAGTCACATTCTCATTATCATTTGCCTGAATTAAGAGCCTCTTAAATGGTCTTCCTATCTCGACCAGGGCAGAGGCAAATTTGTGTCTCGTTTTTGTTTTTGGTGACACAGCCTGCTCTGGCAATATGG